TTTTTTCAGTAAGACAGATCAGAAACTCTTCTTTCGAAGGTCGTATTTCAATGAACATAGATATTCACATGGTTGTTTACTACTTGCATTTAATCTAAATAGCATCCAAAAACTCGTCTTCTCTCAGGTCTTTGTGAACCGTCTGTCATGGTGTGTGTGGGGAAAGAATAGGGAATAACTACAAATTTCTATCCTATATATTTCAAAACTCGTTTTAGATCGTGTTTCACCATAATTTAACAACTTACATATCAACACCATTTGGTCCAACAATCGCAATACGACTAGTCATATCAATACAAAAATTAAGTTTTTCAAATATTGCTTCATGATTTCCATAATTAAATATAACTTCATATGCACCTAATATAGGTGAATTAAGTGATGATGGTAATGGAAAATGAAATTTAACTTGATAAGTTGTCCAGTTGTTTGTCGTTCATGTTTTCGAATTTTCGCTGATGCTTGTTTCGATGAATGTCCTTATTTTGTTTAAAGCTTCTAATGTATCTGCTTGTTTTTCATAATCTTTTAATTGTTGGGTACATACTTGTGCAAACATTTTTTTAAATAATAAATAATTTCCATTATAATAATATTATATTTTTTTCCATTTAAATATATTATATACGTACATATATTATCTAAAAATGATTGATCATGTGATACAACTGATAAAGTTTTTTTTTCCCTGATTGAAAATCATTATCAAGCCAAATAACAGCATTATAATCAAGATGATTTGTTCGTTGAATAAAAAGTGAACGAGCAAGAAATCTACGCATATGCCAACCACCATCACCACTAAATGATTTTGATGAACGATCAATCATTTCAAATGTAAAACTAAGACCAACAAGAATTCATCGTGCTTTTGATTCAGTTACATTAGCATTGATTGCTTTTAATTTATCATAAACATATTGTAATTTATCTTGTAAATCAGTTTCACTTGATGTTTCAAGTTGTTTTTGTTGTTCAAGTAAAAATAAACGTTTTTTTTATCTGTTAATAATAATATTTCAAGTGCATTTTTTTTCATCAGCTTGAACTTCTTGTTCATATAATAGAATATCAATGTTTGGTGGAATAGTTAATTTTCGATGAGCAATATGTTTAAGTAATGTTGTTTTTCCCCCATACCATTAGGTCTAACAAAACCATATTTATGATCATTAACAATATTTAAACTAACATTAACATATAAATTATTTGCTGAAGTGGATATTGAGAATTTGTCAATTTTGTATTGATGCTTGAAAGATACAGAAAATTGATTATTTTCAGGTGCTACACTACCATTAATTGTTCACAAACTGTTATTTTCATTTGATTTTTAATTTCTTTTCGAATCATATTCTTCAGTTGGTTTATTTAACAGATAGTTCTATATTCATTAATAATACATAATTATATAATGATCTATAAATATCTAGTTATATATAAATTTAGTAAACAACTTAAAAACCTTTTTTTTTACCTGTTATGGTCGATATATGAGACATCTTATAACATAAATGTCATTTCAAGTGTCTTAGCAAAAACTATCATAGAAATGAAATGGAAACTAAGAAATACTATTGTCGCAGCAATTTTTCTTCTTCATATGTTATACGAAATTAATGCTTGAAAAACTTTATTTTAGCCTTTTAATAATTATTACTTATCATGATGTTTAATTCAAGTTTAACTAATATATGAAACATCATGGTTATAGTACATTACAATTATTTTAGATATCATATTCATAAGAAACACATGAAAATTTCTCATAAATCACTTACATGTTGTTGTCTTCCATAAAATAGATCAATAACTGTTACCTCAAAAAATAAAAAAGATTATATTTTAACGAAGCATACATGTTAAAAGAAGTAACAAAAATGTCTGACAAGGTTGCTTTATCTTTACTTACATTACCTGTTGAACTTATCTTTCGTTTTTTTGACGAACTAGATGAATTAACAATTTTTCTTTATGTTCGAAATGTTTGTACACAACTTAAAACAATTACCAACACTTCAGTATGAAACATTTGATGAAGAACGAATGATCTATTTGGCTCATTCATTAAAACATAATACAGTGAGACTAATTTTTTGTTTTTTGTAATCATCTAGTTTATGTTTCTAATAACATTCGACACAGTTAGTAAAAACATTGATTCTTGCATGGAATCGATTTTGTCAACAAGGAATACAATACTTAACTGATACAGTGAGATACATTTAATATTTATCGATCTCGCATTCATCTTTATCACTCAATATAGATACTTACTACATTGAATTTTCGATCCAACGAAATTGGTAATCGAGAAATACAATGTTTAGCGAATGTACTACAAACAAATATTGTAAGAGAAATTATTTATTTCATATTCATCTTTATCATTTCATATAGACATTAACAATATTGCATATCTATACAAATCAAATGTCTCATCAAGGCATACAATATCTAATGAATGTATTAGAAAATAATAATAAGATGAAGTTTTTTTTTTTTGTTTTGTTATTTATCTATCTATTAATTTATTCATTTTATTCGCTTATAGACACTCACAACATTCTATATATATCTTGCTAGTGTATTACAAAATAATACTGTGAGATAATCATTATCTTCGAACATCTTCTATTTGTATCAATCATTGATCATAGACGCTTAAAACTTTGTATCTATATAATAATAAAATTCGTGTTCAAGGAACAAAATATTTAGCGGATGTATTAAAAAACAATAAAGTAAGATTATTTTGTGATTCATTACTTTCGCTTTTTTTGTCATTAACATGTAAAATAGACACTCAAAGCATTACATCTAGTAGACAATGATATTCGAAATGAAGGAATACAATATATTGCTAATGCATTAGAAAATAATTCGGTTATATCGATTTTCTTTTTGTTTATTTCATTCGTTTTTATTTGTTTACAGACATTGACAATATTAGATCTTGAAAACAACAACATCTATAATGAAGGAATACAATGTTTGGCAACAAAATTTTAAAAAAATAATACTGTAAAAATAAGTTTTTATTTGTCTCTATTGTATGTATTCTTATTTTTCTATTTAGACACTAAATTATATTGAATCTTAGAAATAATAGAATCAGTTTCAAAAGTATAAAACATTTGGTCAATGTATTACAAAAACATACGGTGAAATAATTTTTCTCCTTATTGATCTAATATTCATTTTTACGTTTGAATGTAGACACTCTTGACAATAATCGAATTAGCTCTGCAGGAACTAAATACTTAGCTAATATATTATGAATTAATCAAGTAAAACTGATAAGAATCGAATGAAATACGTCATCAAGGAATAGTTTATCTAGGTGATTCAATTCAAAATAATACTGTAAAATGAATTCTTTATCTATGTCTTGTATCAATCTATTTACTATGAAATGAAGACACTCACAACTTTAAACCTTAACTGGAATTCAATTCTAAATGAAGAAGTAAAATATCTAGTCAATGCTTTACATTTTTTATTCTTATTATTCATGATAGACTCTCACAATGCTATATCTTAAATCTAATTCTATTTTATCTAAATGTACAGAGTCTCGTAACACTTGATCTGGAAGATAATAGAATTGGTAATCAAGGAGCAAAATATCTAGCTAAAGCATTAGAAAATAACACAGTTATTTTAATTTTTCATTTATTTTATTTCATATAAATTTATATTCTTCATCATAGACATTAATAGCATTGAATCTTGGAGGTAACGTTATTAGTTAAATTTGTTTATATTCAATTGTACTTTTGAAAATAGACACTTACTATATTTCGTCTTCATCTCAATGAAATTCATCTTGAAGAAATTGTATATCTTATTAATAATTTACAAAATAATAAAGTATAAATAATAATTATTTAATCATCTATTTCATTTTATTTTTTATTAATTTAACATAGACATTTCAATTATTGGATCTTGAATATAATGAAATTAGTGCCGAAAAAATACGATATCTTATTAATGAATTAAAAAACAATGAAGTAAGATGAATAGATTTTTTATCATCTATTACATAATTAATATATTGCATTTTGTTTTTTTTTTAATATTCTTAAAAAACAAAAACTTCTGATATTTTTTCAAAGATGATTGGTTTTTTATAAATATGCATCTACTTTCATGGCGTTTTCACAATTTTAATTATTTAAAGATTTTTAGGGATTTAATTCACTTTTTATTTTTTAAATAAGAAAAAAAGCTATCTATACTCATTTATTTGACGATGTATTTTGTCTTGTATTTATTGAAGATTTGCACATCATAAGACAATAATGTATTAGTGCACCTTGATTTTACCCACACATATTTATGAAATAAGGATTAAGATGATATTTATCTTGAAAAAAAACTATATATATATATATAGCTAGCATAAAAAATAAAAGCATATCATATTTTTTTCTTTTTATTGCAAATAAAAATGATGTTAACTTTATTAACGATCATTTTTAGTTGTTCACTGAATTTCTTATCATTTCAAGTTCAAGCAGATACATGCAATACTTATAATCATCCACAATATGGTATTGGTCAATGTATTGATCAAAATCAATGTCCAAATTCATTATATATATCTGGTTTATGTGAATCACAACCATCTCATATTAAATGTTGTTATTCATTAGAACCAATGAAAGAAGAATTTCGAGGTATATGGATAGCTACCGTAACCAATATTGATTGGCCATCATCTAGAATAGCTACACCTGCTCAACAACAAACTGAATTACTTAATATTCTAAATAAAGTTCAAGAATTAAATATGAATGCTGTTATTTTTCAAGTAAGTATGAACAAAAAACAAAATATCGAGTTTTTCTTTCTTATGATATGTATATTAACAGGATTTATAAACTTTAGGTTCGTCCTGCTAGTGATGCACTTTATTCATCATCATTAGAACCATGGAGTTTCTATTTAACTGGTACGCAAGGTGTTGCACCATCACCATGGTGGGATCCATTAGCATTCATTATCAATGAAGCACATAAACGAAATATTGAAGTACATGCATGGCTTAATCCATATCGTGCTCGTACAAGTGGTGCAACCTATGAATTAGCATCTACTAATATGGCTAAAAGATTTCCACAATATGCTTATTCATATGCAAATAATATATGGATGGATCCAGGTGCATCTGTAGTACAAGAATTTACAGTCAATGTAACTGCAGATATTGTTCGTCGTTATGCTGTTGATGGTATTCATATTGATGATTATTTTTATCCATATAGTGATGGTACTGAATTTCCTGATGCTGCTACTTATGCTGCTTATCAAACACAAGGTGGTAAATTAAGTAAACCGGATTGGCGTCGTTTAAATGTTAATAATTTAATTCGATCAATGTATACAACAATGCATACAATTCGACCAAAAGTTAAATTTGGTGTTTCACCATTTGGAATATGGAAAAGTGGTGTACCAGCTGGTATAACTGGTCTTTCATCATATGATAGTTTATATGCTGATAGTAAAATGTGGTTAGAACAAGGTTTAGTTGATTATATGGCACCACAACTTTATTGGGCAATTGATCCACCAGCACAATCTTATCCTGTTTTACTTAATTGGTGGATAGGACAATCAACTAAAGGTCGTCATGTTTATGCTGGTAATGCTGCGTATAAAATGGCTCAAGGTACTGTTCAATGGCAAGCAAATGAATTAGTACGACAAGTAAATATAACTCGATCAATGCGTGATCGTCTTGCACTTGGTAATATTTATTTTTCAACAAAAGAAATTATGAAAAATGTCAAAGGTATTCAAACAGAACTTGCAGCACTTTACAAACACAAAGCTATCATACCTAAAATGAATTGGCTTTAATAAATTAAAATCAAAAATTTATTTAATGCTACATCTAATTAAATTTAATATAAATAAAAAATTTCATAATATCGAAAATTATATAAAATTTTCTTTTTTCTAGTCAGAAGGAGAAAAAAATTTATTTTTTTTCTTCCTTTTTTTTCTTTCTATCAACTAAGCACAAGGTATTAAATATCAATATCACGTAAATCAACATACATATACAATAAAAATACCTTTTTTTTTTGATATGACAACGTTACATTTAACGATCAATATAAAAATTCAACGACATCCTTATTGATAAGCAAAATCCATACTGTTATCAACAGTATGTCTAAAGATTTATTTATCAATCATGTACGCCCTCTACAGTCTATTATTCTAATGGTAACCTCTATCTCCACAATGCAAATATAAATAGACTAAATCAACAACAACTAATTTATCTATCGAATTTCTGTTATCAGAAAACGTGAAAGAACTAAAGAAAAAGTAATTATTTTCCTATCTTTATATATATATTTATATTGTTACATGATAAATAATAATAAAAATTTTAAGAAAAAAAAACTATGTTATATAGTTCTTTTTTTTTTTTGAGTTTGTAAGAGGTCATATTTTTCTCTTCTTCTTTCTTTTACAGTAGATTAATCCGATATATATTTTTTTTCCACTTGATTATTTTATTAGTATTAAATATACAGTTATGGTACGCTCAATAGATCTTCAATCAAGACAACGTGAGTATATATATATATGAATATATAGATCCCAAAAAAAAGTAAAAGACCAAAATATTTTCTTCTTTTGACTAATCTAAAAACAAAACTTATGAAAAATAGTAGTTGAATTTCCCTTAGGTCTCTTGAATGTTGCATGTCAACTAGAAATGAAATTTTATTCTACTATTATTATTATCCATCGGCTAGTAACATAGCAATAAATCATCAATATAACATTGAATCATTTTACATCTATTCTATTTTTATTACAATCCTTTGATTTTATTTGCTGATTTCTTATATATATAGTGAAGGATTTTTATTATTTCTTTTCTTTATTCTATGCATGTTTCGTGTAACTATTTCTTTTTCGACATAAAGAAAAGACAGTAATGCTTTTTTTTTTTTTATTATTATTATTTGTCATTTTCTTTTAAGATTTGTTTTTATGCTATGTAGCACATATGAGATGGACCCAGCGATATGGTGTTATGGCAATAGCCATTATTGTTATAATTACATTTATTTTTATTTTACATCAAAAACGTAAGTTTTCGTATATGATAAGAAAAAAAAGAAAGTTATATTATTATTATTGTTATTTAATTTTATTATAGAAACTTATGAAGAACAAACAAAACAAACAATTGAATTATTACAAAATCGTATTGATTATGTTTCACGTCTTAATGATGAACATTTACAAGAATTATCAATAATAAAACAACAAAATATTCGTTTAACTCGTTCACTTAATACAATTAAATCTTGTCATCATCGTTTTGAAATAAATAATAATATATCAATAATAAATATTAATAATACAATTATTGATGAAACATATAATAATAATAATAATATAATTGATTCAATAAAAACAAATTTTCATTTACCATTAAGTTTTAGTTATTTAAAACATTTAACAAATAAATATGATATGTTATTACCATCATTTCATCGTCAAACAATAAATAAAAAATTTTTACGTCAAAATATATCATTTATTATTGGTATACCAACAGTTAAACGTGATAAACAATTATATCTTATTGAAACAATTAAATCATTAATTGATAATTTAAATAATGAAGATATTGAACGTATATTAATTGTTATATTTATTGCTGAACCATATGATATTGAATATGTACGTACAACAGCTCATCAAATAGAAAAACTTTATAATCAATATATTGAAAATGGTTTAATTGAAATATTAAGTCCACCTATTGAATATTATCCTGATTTTGATAAATTAACATTAAGTTTAAATGATAATAAAGAACGTGTTAAATGGCGTACGAAACAAAATTATGATTTTACTTATTTAATGATGTATTCATCAATAAGAGGAAAATATTATATACAATTAGAAGATGATGTTATTACCAAACCTGATTATATTCATATTATTGAAAGTTTTATTAATAAACAAAAAACACAAGATTGGTTTATGTTAGAATATTCAAGTTTAGGTAATTATAATTAAAAAAAAGATTCTCAATATTGTTCATTTTATCTTATCTTTGACTTTTTTTTACATTTAAATTATAAATGTACTTTAAGATGTTATCAGTAAAAGGTTAGTCAATCCTTGACCCAAACTTTATATTTTGTTGAGAATTATAAGTGTTGAAAAGATATTAGACTATTAAAATCTATCTTTAGATAATATTCTTTAATTTTAAGAATTAATAATAAATCTTATTGAAATTTAAATTGATTAAATGAGAATTTTATTTCATATTTTTCAAAGGTTTTATTGGTAAAATGTTTCATACAAGTGATCTTGATGCATTAGTCAATTTTTTTCTTATGTTTTCTGCTGATAAACCAATCGATTGGTTACTTGAATAGTAAATAATTAATATTTTCTTTTTTTAATTATATATATATTCTAAATAAATAATTAGTTATCAAGATACAAAATATTGTTCATTTGGTGCTGATATTCAAACATGTTCAAGAACAAAAAGTTTACATCGTTTTCGTTTTCGTCCATCATTATTTCAACATATTGGTATATATTCATCATTAAAAGGAAAAATACAAAAATTAAAAGATAAAGATTTTGGTAAAAATATTAAATTATTTAAAGCACATGAAAATCCACATGTATCATCAATTATATCAACATTAAAAAATTATGATAAACATACATTAGTAAGTTGTTATGCAGGACAAAATTTTTTTTGGGCATTACAACCTAAAAAAGATGATACTATTGAATTTAAATATGATCCAGCAAATTTTATAATCAAGGTTATTATAAAAAAAAAAAAAAAAAATATAAATCTTTTTTTTTTTTGTTAATATTATAGAATTTATTTTAAATCGGGTAATCCAGAACATCCAGGTGATAAATTTTTTAATACAACTATTGATTTATTACCATATGTACAACCAAAAGAAGAAATTATTAATTATATTAAAGATAATGATGGTTATTATACAGTAGCAAATTTTTCACATGATACTGGTATTGCCGAAGCTTTTATTAATAAAGCATTTGGACCTATATCAACTGTTCGTTTAAAAGTACATACAAAATCAGATGCATGGGTTATATTGAATGAGGTAATATATAAGATTTTGTTTTTAGTCAGTTTTATATGTCAAGTATAATAAATTATTTTATAACTGTATGCAATTGATTGACTTATGAGTAATAAAACTGAGTAAATGTGTTTTTTTTTTGCAATAATTGTTGAGATTGTAAGAAACAAGAAAAGGGATATGATTAGGGATGTACCGAGAGCTCAGTCTCGATTATGCTTGATCTCGATCATTTCTTTATCATAGATAAATGTGCTACTCTGTCTCAGGCGAAATTATATATCTTTAAGCTTTTCGGCTGAGTTTGACCGAGAGTCTCGGTACATCTCTAGATATGATATATATATATTTATATTTTTCTTGTATTATAGATTCTTATTGAACCGGCCACATGAGAATGATTTAACAAACATCTACATGAATTATCCGTTAACAAAAATGGAGTTCACATACATATATGATAATAAATATTAATACTCATCTCAATAAATATGCAATGAATATTAAAATTCTTTTTTTTTTTGTTTTTTGTTTTCGGTGTATTTATGATAAAGTTAATGTGTGTACTCTATGATTCCTTTTCTCTAGTCATATATATCTGTCTAATCCTTAAAATACAACTGTTCACAAATTTATTGTTGTTATTTCAGTCTTGTTGTTTTTTTTGTCTTAAATGAAGAACGAGTTAATCGTATATTTAATCAAATATTGTTTTATGATTTTTTTTTTCTTTTTCCTGTTAGCTTTATCTTTTTCTATTTTAATGTTCATACATCTACACATAGAATGAAAAATGAGATATATATATATATAATTTAAATATATATACAAGCATATTTATTATTTGTTTTTCTTGATAAAGAAACAAACAATTATCAATATAATATTCTTCTTCTATATCGTTTGTTAAAAATAGATTGATATATATATAGTAATGGATATACTTTTAAATAATCAAACTACTAATTATAATGATGATCCTAATCGTTTATGGGTTGAAATTGATCGAGGTTTGTTTGAGTATAATATATTCGAAATTATTTGTTTTATTATATCTCATTATACAGGTATACGTTCTAAAGAAGCTCAACGACAATTTGAGGCTATATTAAAAATGCCTGGTCTATTTAAAAAAGAAACAACATCAACAACACTTATATCAGCAGCTCTTATGAAATTAGCAACACTTTTTCAAGAAGGGTATATTTTTTATATGAGAATAAAAATTTAAGTTTTTAGAATTCATATTTTTTCGAATATTTAATACTAAATAAAGATTAAATTTTATTTTTATTTTTATTTAGAACAAATGAAATGCGTTTAAATGTAACAAAAGTACTTGATCGAATAGCAAATCAATTACAAAAATCTTCTATGCTTGATGATCCTATTAAAATTATTTATTCAGTTATGCATAGTAATGATTGTATTGCTCGAGCAATAACATTAAGGTGATATAATGTTTTGTTTTTGTCTAAATTTTCTATTTAAATATTATATTTAGAGCTCTTGCTATTATGGCACATATATTAGCTGATGATGTTGAAGCACATTTACATATTCGTCTTGCATTAGATTCTAATGATGAAATAGAAATATTAGCTGCAGTAAAAGCTGCAAAAAAATTTATACCTTGTTCAAAGTACATCGAAGTTTTGTTTTCTCAAAATATAGTTTAATTTTGTTTTTTTTTTTCTAGAACATTTGCTATGTCAATTAGTACAAAACTTGTTTCATTAATTGAAGATTTAACAACACCATTAACTATTAAATCTTGGCTTATTCCATTATTTGAACATATGACACATGATGCAACTGTTTCTATGAAAGTATATTATAAGATAAAAACAAATTTTTTTTTTCTAATTTTAATTATCATAGGGTCGTCAATTATTAATATCATTAATGACAAATGATACAACTGAAGAATTTCTTAAAATAGCTGTTCCAACATTAGCTCGATTAGCTGTTAAAAGTCATATTGAAATTGGTGAAACAGTTAGTTTGTTTTTTTTTTTGTATTTTCGAATTATTTTATTTGAAAAAATTTCATAGGTAAAATTTTTTCTTAAATTTCTTAAACTTGAACCACGTCAAAATTGTCGTAAACTTATACTTTGTCATCTTGTTCCTATTGCTCGATGTGGTCCAATTGTTTGGCTTGATTCTACAACAGAAGTATAAATATAAATATTAATTATATAATAATACAAAAAAATATATTTTTCATAGGATCTTATTACATTTGCAAATAATAGTGATGATGATTATGTACGATTACAAGTTTTACGTATTATTGAAGCACTTATCAATGGTGGTGGTTATATTTCTCCAACATCTACATCAGGTATATAATTGAAATATGAATTTTATTAATTATTTAAATATTTTGTTTTTTTTTCTTGATGAAATAGATTTAAAAAAACTTCTTCAAATGTTTACTATACATAATAATATTCAAGTTGCATATCAATGTTGTTCAACAACACTTCGAATAATTCTTAAATATCGTAATATATCAAATCTATCTTTAGTTGGTTTGTAGTGTTTTTTTTTTTATTTTAATTAATTTATAATAACATAAAAGTCTTAAAGCAAAAATTTTCATTTATTTATATTTTTTTTTTTTAGAATCAACAAATAATGAATTATTTTCATCACAAAATATTCTTGACGATTTAATTGAACATCTTAATACAGCTTTAGCTGTACTTCTTACTGAAATTATTCAATCAAATAATCTCAAAGAATTACAAGTCTGGTTAACACACGAATAGTTTTTTTTTATTATTTATAAAATTCTATGTTTTGTTTTTTTTAAAGGATACTTTAAGTTTAATTGAACAATCATCAAGAGTATATAATGATAGTGCACAAAATTTTATACATTTACTTTTTACAACATGTACTAATGTTGAAAGTAAGAAAAGACAAAACAAAAAAAAAAAATAAATTTTAAGAAATTAAATATTTTTTTTTTTTTGAGATCCAGAATTATTATCCTATTTAACAAAATCACTTGTTCGTTTATCAACAAATCATAAAGAAATTATTTCTAATGAAATAATACAATTACGTCATTTATTAGCAAATACTTCATTGAATGATGATGTTCGAGTAAGAAATTAATTTTTTGATTTTTTGATAAATTTAAACTTTATTGTTGTTTTTATTATGAAGTATAATCTACTTGCTTTATTTGTTCTATCAAATTCAAATGATATTAATGAAATTCATGAACATATTAAACAACTTTCATCATGGAAATGTTTTTTACTTGCACGTTGGTGTATAAGACATTGTTTATATAAATTAGCTATTAATCTATTAGAAATATTACTTAATTATATTCATATATCTATACATGAAATTTGGCTTCGTACATTAATTGATATATGTCGTGCAGAAGAACGATTACAAACAGCAATGAATTTTTCAGAAAATAATTTAGAAATATTATGTAATAATCTTATTGAAGCTGGATCATTTTATGAATCAAGTTTAATACAAATGCCTGTAAGAATATTATTAATTTAAATTTAATAATATTTAATTTTTATTATTCTCTAGTTAAGATTATCTATTGATGATAATGAACATTCAATTGATGCAATATTTGATTTTGAACGTGCTTATTGTGATATACGTTCATCAATAATTCATCAATTTTATGAACTTATTCATACAATATATCAATATGATTTAGGAATGATTAGTTTTGATTTACTTGGAAAACGAATGGTTAGTTTAAAATTTCTTAAGATTATTTTTTCAAAATAAAAAAGAAAATAACAATGATGTTTTTGTTTTTTTTTTCTATAAACAATTTACATAATGTACATAGTCTAAATTCAAAAGCAATTTATCATATCAATCTAATTTCGATACAGAACTTTTTTGACAATCATAATAAATTTAGATATGTACAGTATCTCTCAGAGATGTCCATCGCGGCTGAAAAACTGCCGCTGCCGCGCCGCGGCCTTAGAAAAAAAAGCTGCCGCACCGCAGCCGCGCCGCTGTCGCGATGAATTATAAAATAAACGTGCCGCCGCCGCGGTGGTTTACAAAAAAGTGTTTCTAATTTCACTGCTGCGACTATATTTGACCAGAGATATTGGTACTAGTCCATCAGATTCATTCAGTCTCGGGGTGTTTCATTTGTAAACCCTGAAATTCTATTAAATTCATGCAGTTTTTAAATGTTCCCCAAAAAAATCCTGCCGCTGCCGCCACAGGCCATCGCGACAGCGGCAGCGCCGCGATGGACATCTCTGGTATCTCTTCATCATAAAATGTTTGTTACTCAGTTTTCTCATTTGAGAAAGAGAAAAATTAATAAAATATATATTACAAAAGCTAGATATTGTATATTGATTGATATAATTTGTTTAAATATTTTATATTGAAATTTTTATTTAGCTTTCTATGATGACTAAACGTTTTTCAACAATTAGTTCAAAAATTAATGATATTCAACAATCATGTTTTGATGGTGATACACAAACATTATGGTGTTTAACATATAATCGTTTTCTTTGTGATCTTATATCTGCTGTTATTGAAAAAATTGTTCGAAATCTTTCGTAAAAGAAATATTTTATAATAAAAAATATATAATTTTTATAAATATTATTTTAGACTTGATAAAATTATTTGGCAAAATCGACTTAATGATATGTCTTGGCGTGATGGATTTACTGAACAAATGTTTATTCGTTTTCGACATATTATTGATTTTGTATGCACTCGATTACATAGTAAAAAGACAACAAAAAAGAATATTAATATAGATGAAGTTTGTTTTCTTTATTTATCATTCGTTTTTTCTTTTTTTTTTTAAATTTTCTTTTCTGTAGGAATTAGCTATTCTACAATACTTAGCTAGTTCATTGATTATAATTCCACCACCAATTCCAAGAATGTTTTTTCAAAAATTACAACAAACAGTTGTTAAAGTACGAAATATTCTTTTATAAATAATAATTTTGAAGAATTTATTATTTTATTTTTTTTTTAAGTTAGTTGTTTCTCCAAATGAAAATGAAGATCGTCCTGTACATGAATCTGATGCATTATTACCTGTTCAAATTCATGGTGAAATTGATGCAATATATCATCAATTACCATTACGTACTGTAAAACAAGTTTTTGTTGAAGTATTAACAAGTCAAGAAATAAATAAAAAAACAAAAACAAAAATTCCTATTCTTGATCAAGTAATTTTTATTTAAATATATATATGATATAGTTTAATATTTTACTTTTTAGATAACAGATGATGATTCATATCGAGAAGTTAAAGCATCACTTTTTTCAGCTGGTTCATCATTTTCAAAGTTATTAGATAATGAAAATGATCATTATGAAAATGTTATTTTAAATGAAGAATTAAAAGATAATAGATTTCATGCTGGTTTTATTTTACATCTTGGTACTGTTACACATTATAATATTCATGTACGTGTATCATTTGAAGATAATAATGGACAACGATGGACGAATGTTGCTGAAAAAACAATTTGTATTAAGTAAAACCGTCTTCTTTTTTCTGTTTTATTCTTCGATATATATATGTTTCGTTTCTTTTTTGTTTTTTTTTTGTAGACTTAATAATCGACGACAAAGTCGATCGGCAGTAGCTGCTCGTCCTAGTCTTCAACAAATACGTTCAACTGGTGCAACAAATTAAATAAATGCCTTTCTCTATTTGTGAATCTCCATTTTGTTTTCAAATAAATTGTACAGAGAGATACTAATGTAGGTGTGGGTGTCAGTATTTGTGTTTGACTGAAGAGAAGATTTACATTCACACCTAATCTTTATGCAAACAACAACTTGTAACTGAATTATGATTGATCGTTTGTGTATCGCCATGGAATAAATATCAGAAGATCTCATAGTGCACTATTTTCCCTCAATAAGATCATAATCATATGTTCTCAATGTTTGATTTCATACTGTAAAAGGTGTTATTTTTGAAAAACAAACAGCAAACTATTACACTAGTACGTCTGCCTACCATCGTAAAATTCTAACAAAGGAAACGAATTAAATCTTCATATGTCTATACTTAAAGATTTAATGCAATGATTAAAATCCAGATGCGTGCTCTATAATTATAATGTAGTCGAAGTACATTATTCTAGCACGTGTACATGACAAAAAGAAAATGTCGCTTCTATCTTCTCTTCAATCTTTATAGTTCATCATCTTGGAAAAGTCTATCTATCGATAATATAAAACGACTTTATCGAGGCACATTCATTGTTTTAATTAGTGCATCAAGTTCTTTCTCGATTGGTATCTTAAATGTGAATTAAACTTTTAGTTTATCAAATTCCTTAATTCGATTTTCAATTTTGTAGTGTAGACAAAGCCATCTTTAGTCAATACTAACTATGAAAATCATATTTATCGTATGTGTAAAGTAGACACAGCACTTTTTGATTTTCATTCCATTATATCTAGTTACTTTTCTTGAGTGTTCATCTTACTTTTTAGATTATAAAAAAAGAAATGATTTCTGCTAATGTAAAAAGAATTAAGTTTATTTATAAGAACAATGAATATTCGTTGCTTGTTAGTCAATAAGTTCTGATAGAAGTACTTATGAATAGAATTCAGACCTATTTTCATATATCAAATCAAGTTTGTTTGCATTTTTGACACCCAAAAAGAGATATTTTTTACATTCCGGTAACAACTGCTAATTAGTTTTTAGTTTGATCCGTTAGATGAAATATCACTCTAAGAAATAATTATTGGAACAGGTAAATAATTGAATATTTTTCGATTTCAATAGTTCAGCTGTTTAAGTTTCTCTAATGAGAATTTCTATATAATTTCAATCACAGGTGCAAAGTTTACTTTTGCTTTCGATAAAAATGTCTCGCTTTGTATAGCTTCTCATTCTCAGAACTTTGAGAAAAAAAAATAATTTTGAAAAATTTTTCTCTTCTTGAAAATATGTATAAAATAGTCGAAAAAAATCTAAAACAATACATTTGAACTTCCTAAGTAATTTTCTTCAATCGTTTATATTGATTCTATACATCAGAAACAGAAACAGAGAGGTATCAAAAGTAAAATTCAAGATAACATTTGTAAGCTTCATGATGAGATGCATATAACTTTATTAAAGTACCATTAAGTTAAAGAAAAAACAGATAATATCAAATATAGACTGACTAATCAATGATTAAACAGAAATTGAGTGTTATTTGTGAATTCATGATTATTCGATAAAATCGAATTGCTCTACATAATGATATATAATGAATTCGATAGAGTTTTACTTGCTTGACAATGCTCATATTATGAAATTATTAGTATTTGTAATAGAGCAAAACTATTTAATAAACTTTGTTCAGTATTATTTTTGAGAATAGTTTTAAGGGAGACTATGTTATATAATTATCAAAGGATCACTTTTAGTTTTCAGTTTTTGTTATTTCAAATGAAATATTTTCTACAATCACAAGTAAATCTAAAATATTAGATATTTTTTCAATATTTTTAAACGATAAAAATGAAAGTGTTAAGTATATTATATAATCCATGTATATGCGTGAATTGCAAAATTTTGGTATCATTGACGTTTTAGCTGTATCTGGCTAATAATTTCTGTTTCTCTCAAGCGATTGGGACAATTTTTTTAATATTTTTTCCTTTTTGTATGCCCTACTGCCACACGAAATTTCAGCTCTCTAGCTCATACTATCGCTGAGTTATGAGAGGTGTATTAAAAAAAAACGTTAGTTATTTGTTGATATATGAAAAGAAGGGTGTGACTGTCTCTTATCTTCACACCCACACCCAAATGAATATAACACGGCAAGCAAAATCAATTTCATTATAGTCTTTTTCTAACTTTCTATTCTTCAAACAGAGCTGAAAACTGATTTGCACTTTTTAATGAGTAATGTCAATTTTATTATTCAATGAAACAGCAATTAAACTGTACAACTTGTATTTCTCTTAATAATCAATGAACTGTTGAGAAACTTTTGCTGCTTAACACAGATATAGAGTACAATAAAATGCAGTACTCAAAAGTTGTTTAGGTTCATTTTTATTTTTTCGTGTCAATTGTACCAAAATTTTGTAATTCACTCACATATATGTATATAGCTATCTTTAAATATGAACGGATTATATAATATCTGATAAATAAAACAGATATTATCAGCACGAGATATAATCCCAAAACTTCTTTTGATTAGCGTATAAACGAAATGTGCTTCAGTTTTACACCATATCAACATTATTAAATGAAAAGTTTCTCTCAGATGATTACTTAGAGAAAAAATTTATTACGATGAAAAATTTCGCTCTGCTCTTTGACTGTCTCTGATATATATCAAGAAAAAGGTGATTTCAAGAAGATAAATGCATTTGAGAGTAATGCAGAATTATGTAAGAAAACAAGTTACTTTCTTTTATCTCGTCTGTTAATGTCCTTCTTTTTTGCAAATAACTGCAGATATGTAGCTCATCTTGGATGACATGTTTCATATTAATATTTAGTACCTAAGACGAATTCGTCATCCCATGTTATTTCTTTCTGGGTTCTTCGATGAAAAAATGCGAATTGATTTCTATTAAATTGTGGTTGGAAGTAATTTATATAAATAATAGACAATATGATTTATTATATTGTCACTATTAATCTTTTAACATATTTGGATTAGTTGTTATCTTTGTTTTAGTATTTTTCATGAAAAAAAAACTTGAGATCATTTTACAGAAATTTAAACAATACATACAAGTATAGCTTTAAATCATTTGTTTTCGTATGATCGACAGATTGTCGAGCAAGTGAAATATCGAATTCACTCTATATATCATTATGTAAAGCAATTCAACTTTTTCGAATAATCATGAATCAACAAAAAACACTGAATTTGTTATGTATCTCATCACGAAGCATACGGATATTTGCTTGAATTTTACTGTTGACACCTCTCTCTCTGTCTTTGATTTATAACATTGTATAGAGAATTCCAATGTTTTGTTTTAGAGATTTGTGTTTATTATTTTTTCGACTATTTTACTCAAATTTTCATGAAAAGTTCTAGAAAACGAAAGATTTTCATCAAAAGCAAAAGTGAATTTTGTATATGTGATAGAAATTCGTAGTAGAAATAATCAAATGATAAATTATTTATTTTAAATGCATAATTAGTATAGTCGAAAACTATCAAGCTTTTTACTTCTAAAAATTAAAACATAAAAAACTTTACTTGTAATATAATGCTAACAAAGACTATAGTTTTAGGTGATGAAAATGTTGTAGCAAGAAATGGATGGTGTAGATACTTCCTAAACAATTTTATTTTATCAATTATTGGTGAGTAATTAAGATGAAAAGAAAAAAATTAACTTTCCTTAAAAGAAAAACTTATATTGTAGAATGTAATGAGCAAGAATTCAGAGTTTAGTTAAACTAACTGATGGATATTTTATCTGTAGATCTACTCTGTAGTTAATATAAATGTCTATTTCTGCTGAAGATCTAACGTCTTCATAGTGCGACTGTATATGAAGGATATAGTTTAGAGAGGATGTAGGCGGGTGTCATGATCTATTTATGTAGATTCACACCCTGCCAGGAATATTTACAATGTTCTTGATGTTCGAATGATATGATACTCATCGAGCTAAGAGAATAATGAAAATGAGAATGAAGAATTATACTTTAAAACAGTTTTTTTTATTTCTCGAACCCTCTATAACGTGACTGAAAGATAACTCGAAATATTTTGTAAATCTCAGAGAGAAAGTCTCCATGAAATTTACTTATTTATGGACTAAGTTATTCTTGAAGAGGGGTGTGGGTGTGAGTGTGAGTGGTGTGGATGTTGGTTACGAAAAGACTCAGGCTATACCGATAACGACATCATTACACCGACACTCAGATCCACCCCCACTCCCACACCTGCACACCTACAGCCACAGCCACACCTGCTCACACCCCACACCCTTGTATTGATGGTGTGTCGTGAGTGGCAAAAGAATTGATTTCGGCGAGCATCTCTGCAAACTCGATTGTTGTTTTACAATACTCAAAATTTTCATCGAAAGAAAAGTGAAAACAAGGGGGTAAGTGCAGGCACTCAGCACCTGTTTGACACCTTTATCGAATTTACTATGAGCATCGTCAGTACCTTCAACCATTTTTTCACTATCTTAAGTACTTTTTCAGCACCTTGGGCTAAAATTTAGTGCCTAGGCTCTGCCCTTTAAATTTTCTCGCAAGGTGCTGAAAAGTACTTCAGATAGTGGGAAAATGGTTGAAGGTGCTGAAGGTGCCGAAGGTGCTCATAGTAAATTCGATAAAGGTGTCGAACAGGTGCTGAGTGCCTGCGCTTTCCTCCTTGAGTGGAAAATGGTTCTCTCCCACTATTGTTTTTCGACTGATATCTCTTATCATGACTAAACATAAAATTCGGTATACCAGCTGGTAAAAGTTGTATTTAAAGCCTGATAGATACCAAAAGAGAAAGCTGTCTTTATCTTTCATTAATAGTAGATAAAATAAGGTAAGCGTGAAACGATGCATAGAAGATCGTTCTTTCGTTTATTTATATTCAGATGTTCACATAAAAGTAAGTTAGTTAGCTCTTGCTGTTTTCAAGAGATATTATTCAAAATCAGTAAGAATCAGTGCGCATCATGCGCTTTGATTAT